TCTTTATCGTTGTCTACAACAACACACAACTTAGTGTCATTTGCAAATTTTGAAATTTTAGGCTTTATTTCCATATCAATAGCAATATCATTGATGTATATTACAAATAGCAACCGTCCTAATACGGATCCTTGAGGAACCCCACTTGTAACATTGCTCCAGTTTGAAAAACTTCCTCCAACACCAACTTTTTTTGCCAGTTGTCAATTTTGTAACCAGTTTGAAATCGACTTTGGTGTGTTTTCTGTGATCCCACTTGCCTCTAATTTTAAGGCCAAACATTTATGCTGTACCTTATCGAAAGCCTTAGAATAAGAACATATAATAAATAATAAATCTTACTAAGAAAGTTTATTCAGCAGTTTATACAAACTAATCAATATATTACAAAATTTAATCCAAGGTTGAAAATAGGCAAAGGTTCGTTTTGTTAGTCGATCAATGAATGAATGTTGATTAATTTGTGATGTGGCGTGCGTGAGGTGAGGCAGGTTCAACATATTGCGTGTTCGTCTTCTTAAGTGCTCGCTACTCCGCTGATCTCGTCAGGGTTGGGTTAATTAATTCCAACAATGAAAATTTCTACATCGAAGTGAGATTTTTTTAATTAAAATACAGAAAAAATGAAAAAGAAGTGAAATTTTTTCAAGTGATTTTTATTATTTAATAAATATTAAAATAAATTAAAGTAAAATATAATATAATATAATAATAAATCCAGTTGGTTCTGCAGACAACACACAAAGTGACAGCTTGGACTGAATTGTTGCGAAATGTTTCGCCTTTTAAAATTTTCCATACTTTTTTTTAGAAAATATAAAAAATCACATTTGTGTCAAAAATCAGTTGAAACTTTTAAAACAGATTAAAAAATTTAAAATCAAAGAACTATGAATGAAAAAGTAAATTTAAAAACAATTAGAAAATTATTTTACAAGTTAAAATTTTTTGTTTTTAATAAATAACCTGATTTATGATGTTTTTATGTTTCAGGCAAAAAGCTTGAAACCTATAAAATGTATATTCTCATTAAAAAAACGAACTCCGAGTTTGATTAGAAGAGACAACAAACGCACGCACGTGTTAACAGCCAAACGGCAATCTTCTTTAAAATACGTTTGCAGAAGATATTCTATCAATTATAGAATGCCAATTTTTGCGGGACTGAAAGCATGACTCAGCAGCACAAAAGGACTGCGTGAGAAACTTTATGCGTAACTTGTGACGCAAGTCATATTTGATATCGTATCACAATTGGATTCGTTCCAGGGAAGTATCAACGAGGCATTTGATAGAGACAAAAAGATTTCAATTCGATGACATGAATCAAAGAAATGACATCGTTGTTTCATTAGGAGGTTGAATATAAGCGTAGCAAAGCAACAGTGAGTCTAAGAAATGTTTACAATCTAACAATAAAGGGCAACACATAAAAAAATTGTCCATGTATGATTCACTGTTTGGCCTAAAAATAACTCTAGATTTGCCGCCAAATTGTTAAGTCAGTAACTATCGTAAAATCATCCAATGTTTACACAAACCTAGGACCAAATTATGAACATACATCATGTGTGGGTGTGAACATGTTTGTACGTTAACACAAATGTGTGTTTCTTTATGTTTTTTATATGTTGTTCATTTCTTTCATGCAGTATTTTATTCATTCACGCAAACTCTATATCGTTCGTACGTATGCATCCATGCTTGTTGCGTGAGGAGTGTAGGGAATGAATGAATGAATGAATGAATGAATGAATGAATGAATGAATGAATGAATGAATGAATGAATGAATGAATGAATGAATGAATGAATGAATGAATGAATGAACGAATGAACGAACGAACGAACGAATGAACGAATGTAACATACGTGGTGTGAGTACGTACATGACTGCACACATGCATGTTGTGTTGGTACACGGATGCCGATATATTAGCTACATACTAGCTATTTATAGTAGTTTACTATTTCGGAGTCTATTGTTAATATCATATATAGAAGAAGGACGTACGTTTGGTTAGCCAAACATAAATACATGACATGTGCGTTGTGAGTACCAGACAGAACACACACACACGATGCATGTACGTACATGTAAGTATAATGTTGTTGTTCACGAGGGATTCATGCAAAATTGCTCTTCTGTCCCTGCTTCATTGATTGATGTTTTTGCTTTTTGAACAAATTTTTCTTCTTCAAGAATTATTTTTTCTTTTTCCATCAATGTTTCACGATGTTCATAATGAAAATTTAACTTGACGTTTATTTAAAATTTTCTTATACATATTCTATTGACAGTTTAACGGTACGCGGAACGTAAAGGTCGGTTATGCTGAATAATTGAAAACATTCCTTTCCGTTTTTTAATCTTAATTGCACGCCAGTCCTCTTCCATCTGACATCCATTGGCCTTTATTTTAACAAAAATTCATTTGTGAAGACTTGTTTTGCAGACGCAACTTTTATGAATTAAAAAAAGCTAATAGTCATCATAAATATACAAAGTTTCTTGGAAATTTAGAAATTTACAAAGTATAAAATTCTGAACAGTATAAATCTACCTAGCGTGAAATAGATGAAATAAATTTGTTGACAACTCATAAACCTCACTCAATTAAAACAACCTATCAAAATTTGAATTCGAACCGTTTATAATCGCCTAGATAGTAAACAAAATTATGTCGATAATCATGATGACGATGAAGATGAAGAAAAAGATGATGAAGGTGAGGATGTAAAAACAAAGATGATGATGAGCATGATGAGGATAAAGATGGTAAAAAAAAGATGAGGATGGTGATTGTGGTGGAGATGAGGATGATGAGGAGGAGAAGGCGTGGTCAGAGCTTCAGGTTTTTTTATTTTGTGTCTCTGCAAGTGCTCGAGCGAGGTTGAATGTTTCTGTCAGTGCACTTGATTCAGTTCATATAAAAATTAAAATTTAAATTTGAGGATTTTGTTTAATTTAAGCAACTATGCCAGGAGTTTAAGAAAATCAATCATATGCAGCTTAATGGCGTTTCAGGACACAAGCATCTGCATACACGCCATCAATTTGTGTCGTGATTTCCTTTCTTCACAATTGAATATATTCTGAAAAATTTTTTTAACCTTGTCATGCATTGTTTCTTTTGTTAAATTATAAATCAATGTACTAATTTTTATTAAATTTCAAGATAACAATGAAGCTCTACTATTTTTCACAAGCAGTTACCTCCACACACAAGCAAGCAAGTAGGCTTAAGTTGGCAACCATGGCGCACCATTCCATCTATGAAGAACTTTTAATAATTAAAAAGATTTTCAAACTGCATAACTCAAATTAATATCAAACTAGAAATTAATTTATAAACAAAAAATTCATGGTACAAGAAGATTTTCACTATTTTTTCCATAATACTGATGAAACATTTAGAGGCACAACCAGAACTTTAAATTATGGTTAAAAATGTGTAAAAAATCAAAATCGAAGCATTTTCGTTGTTCCACTTTTTAAACAAGTTTTCTATTAAACCCAATGTTTTTTTATAAACCTTCGCCAAATCTTATTGTTATGAGTGAGACTGTAACAGTTACCAATAGAATTTTGCCATCTTCTTCCTTTTCAGATAGTTGATGGCTTGACATCACGTGGATTGTTGCCGCTACCGAATTTCCACTCCCTGATGCAAACACACCCCTGCCCTAACCCTAACTCCACTAATTAAATACTAAGTAATTATTAATTATCAATTGATTATCTAAATATTTTGGCAATCCATCCAGCCGTTTTACAAAAACATACCATCACCAAAATTATTGTTGTAACAAATAAATAATTTATGTGCGTTTGTGCTTTGAATGGCTATCGGCATGTATGCAATACACTGTAATGTCTCAAAGATGTCTGGCAGAGCAGCATATTCGTCCACGCTCTGTGCTATATAAAAGCTCACCACGAGCCTTCCTTATTAAAACAATTCTGCCATCCATCCGAACAAATTTAATTTTAAATTGAGTTTTTGTCTCTAAAAATTCTGTCTAACAGTTTTTTATTTGTTTTGCCTGAAAAGAAAACGTTCGATCGTGAAAAAATTTGCGAATAAATTTAATTTATGTATATAAATTTATTTATTTGTATCAAATATACAATTAGAAAATCAATTTCAACGTTCAAACGTAGATCAGAGCCTTCACCAAACAACAAAATAATCAATACTAGTTTACCAAATTTTTTATAAACAATCGTACGTATTCAAGTAACGTTTTGTTGACAGATTGATAAGGGGGTTTTATGTGAACAATCTGAACATATCTTGATAATTAACACGTCCAATAGCATATCAACATGAGCCATCTAACAAATACTCGATATTTCAACTGAGCGACAATCATGGATGCGAATGATGTAAGAAAATCCAATGGATTTGTCTCCAACATCAACATTAAATTTATTTTTTACTTCGCAATTTGTGGTTACCAACCAGTGGATCCAAGCAGCAATCTTCAAGTTGGTTTCAACGATTCGATCGTTACACCATCTATGTTATCAACAGTGCAATCTTCTTTCACGATGATTGAAAACAAAAGTAATTCAACAACAAACTTATTATTGTCAACATCAACCATATCATCAACGTCATCATCGTCAGCTTCTGCAAGTGAAAACACCAAAGATTCAACAGGTTTGAACCATGATGACTCACAACACATTTCTAGGGACCTCTTACTACCACAAAGTTTGATATCCCATGTGCCAACAGCGCCACCAGCTACGTCCACCACAACTTCTTCATATCTTGTATCAACATTTTCTTTCTATCTTTTATCATCAACAACATTGTTATCTCCATCATCTTCATCAATACAGGAAAACTTCAACTGTATTGCTCCGTGCGTGTGCAACTACATTTTGAACCGTAGCAACAAAATCAACAAGTCTAATGATGACGTCATCAATGAAAAAAACAAAAACAACGAGGAAAACCGACGCGATAGCAACGGTAAAATGGAAAATAAAATGTTAAAAGTTTCCTGCACTTACATGGATTTAGATGTGCCCCCAATTGGAATACCCCTTCAAACGCAGGTGTTGGACCTGAGTGGAAACAAATTGTTGCCCGGCAGTTTGGCGCTGTTGAGAGACTACAGGAATCTAAATAAATTGATCATCAGTGACTGCAGGGTGGAAAATTTAGGTAGGTCATCTCATTTCTTGGAGTGTGTTCTTAAATGCATACGCTGTTAAATTCTATTTAATAATACAAATTAGCAATATGTGAAAATATTTCACTGCCATTTTGATCTGTAAAATTAATGAATAGTGTTACATCTGATCGTCACAATGATAACCACGGGTGACAATCTTTAATAACTTTCTTGTTGATTCGCCTAGCGACCATTAGAAATAGAATTTTCACATAAGCCAAACCAACCCCGACAGGTCAGATGATCATTGGAGGCCACGATGTCTTCCTCCCCATTCAGTCGATAGATGCCAGCCACAACAACATCGTCTACCTACATGAAGACACTTTTTCTAAACTTTCCAATCTTCAATGGATTGATTTATCTCACAACCATATTGAAATTATCCACAATAACTTATTCAACAACTTGACCAGAGGATTGAAATGGTTGGACTTGTCCAACAATCGAATCGCCAGCTTGGCAGACGCTCGCTGGTTGAATGGACTGCGCGGAAGTCTTATTCATTTTAATTTAAGCCAGAATAACGTACATGTGGTCTCAAAAAGTACGATAAATTGGCTACCTGGCTTGTTGAGTTTTGATATTTCACGCAATTCTCTAAAATATGTTGATAATGGAGCGTTTGATGATTTGTTGTGGTTGAAGACGTTAAACTTAAGTGGAAACTGGTTGGAAAATATTCCAATCATGAAGTTTTATAACGATGCTTCCGGTGTTGATGCTAATTTTAATTATTTGAATTACAAGGACAGTGTAAATGATAAATATTCTAGTTACTGGGACTATGACATGGATATTTTTAACGATAACGTTGAATGGAAATCTACAAACAGTACAACCTCATTTGCTAAAAATAGTTTGAAAAATTTAAAAATATTAGATTTAAGTTTCAACAATTTCAACTCCATTGCACCCTTCACCTTTGCAAACAGTTCAACTTTGAAAATGCTGAACATAAATAACAATGGAAATTTGAAAGTAATTAGAGAATACTCTTTTGTGAAGATGACAGCGTTGAAAGAGATCAATCTAAATGACAACCAGCAGCTTCTCTACATCGATCACAAGGCTTTTAAAGATCTTCCTCGTCTGCGCACCTTGAATTTGAAGCGATGTTTCTTGGTGACGTTGCAGGATGGAATCATCAGGAACCTGCCTTCGTTAGTTTACTTAGATCTCTCAGAAAATCCGCTGGACTGTGACTGCACGCTGAGCTGGATGAAGTCACGTGACTGGAGCCTAATTAATGAGAGCGAAAGATATTCCATAAACGAGTTGACGCCATCGAAACGCCATCTTCAACAAAAACACCCTCTATCATTTGGTGATTTCACAATTTTTAACATATCGAAGAGGGAAATATATTTTTCTAATGCTTCTTGCTTGACAAATTTGTCACAGCTCGAATCAAATTTCTGCGGTCCTAAAATAATCAAAAGTCTTTTGAAAGATAACGTTCGGATCAAAATGACGGAAGAACTTGAAATGTACTGCGTGGCTTACGGACAACCAACTCCAATCACATACTGGATCAAACTGGAGGCTGGTCAATACGACAATGGTATCAACCGAGGTAGTTATGAGGAAGATCGCATTAATGAAACCTTTGACAGCTCATCAAAAAAGGTTGGTAATTCGCATGAAATGTTTTATGTTGCACATTCAGTAGAAAATTTTATCTATATAGGCTCACGTTTCTATAGCTTATAATTTATATACACGTTTATATCTATGAGTTTGTGTTCACATAGTTTAAGCTACTCGAATTTATCAATAGATTAAACAAACATCTAAAAAAATTTTAAAAACTGCTTAATTTGGACAATTTTTTATTTGTTTTATTATAAAATTAGTTAAATATGATTCATTGATGTATTGTGTATAATGTATTTTTTTTTGTAAAAATTTTTCCTAGTAAAGTAAATAAATTATTTCAATGACTTGGTAATTTAATAATCTTCCTGCAACTTCAGCGATGGTGATTCAACTTCAATAACAATTTAACAGAAGCTAAAAAAAATTGTAACATTTTTATCAACAAAAAAAATGTAAAATTTAATTGCAAAAATTGTGCGAAAGTTTCCCGTCATTGATAAATCCAGTGCGGGAAGGAAAACAAATTAATCTCGCTGGCGTATCTATCTGACGTGCGATTAATAAAACTACCTTTGACAATAGTTCGATATCGCACCTTCACTTTTGATAAATCTTTTTGCGTGGATATTTTCATGAATTTTTTTTGTTAGTTTGAAAGCTCAAAATTATTCTTTGCAAATGGTAGAAAGAGTAAGTTAGCCTCATCAGTGCGATGAAATTATATGGTTCGATGGATTTCTCGTGTTTCATCATTATAAAATGTGTTACCGACATTGAAGCGTGTTATAAATTGCTCTAGCTCCTGGGGTGGGCAAACTACGGCCCGCGAAGCTATTTTATGCGGCCCGCGAAAGCTTCTTCGTCAAAAAAATGAATGTCAGCCAGACATTATAACCTAAAAAAAGAGCCACAAATCTTAAAAAAATTCTCCCCCAGGTCGAAAAAATTTGCTATTTAAATACATATGCGGCTCTTCAAATGTTAAATAGTTCGCCCACCCCTGTTCTAGCTAGATAGTTTTTGTTGTTCAATAGATAAATTTCAATATATTGCACTGCACTGCAATGCTGTACTGTTACTAAATAAAAAAAAATGTTACTTGAACCTATTCTACATAATACAAGATACTTTAATTATTTTTATCTTCAGTAATTTGACGAATAATTTGGAAGTTAAAAAAAACCTGATATTTTTCATTTGCAGAGAACAATCACACACAAATAATTCCATCCGCATGTATCAAGCCACAAATTTATGTAACATATTCATGGATTCATTTGCAGAAAAACAAAAGAGAAATGATGCAGACTGCAAACCACATTTTATTTACATCAACGGACCTTTCTGGAAGCATTTAAACGCTGAAACATTATATACACGGCAGGTGTTAAAAGAGAAACCTCGCAATCGTACATCATTATACACGTTTAATCCAGCATATCGGTCATCGAGCTCTTGTTTTATGGTCGGACTCTTGCTTGCTCCTGATAATGATCTCGATTATGACCATCGCAATAAATTCAGTTTTTTCATAAACATCTAGCTATTATAAGATTATTACAGCAGAAAAATTATTGCATCTCATTATATTCATATGGAAATATGGACGTTCTTTTGGCTTAACAAAAATCGATAAGATATTTTTTGGTTTTGTTCGATTTGAAGATTTTTTTCAAGATAACATACCGGGTGAAGGGCAAGCCCGGCTATTGGCGGTTGTTCGTTTTATAAAAGAAGGAATCATTTGGCTAGTTTACAATTGGTTTTTTCATATTGGCCTGCTCAACATTAGGTTCATTATTAATAAATATATTCATGTTTGTGGGATTATCGTTGAAAATTTGGTTATTTTGGTCTCAACAGAGTCCTGGCATCTCTCGTCTGATTGCTTTCAGTTGGATTGGCCAGGCCACCTAATTTCAAATTTGTTGAATTTTCACGGTTTGACGACCATAATCGTGGTGGAATAAAATTTTGAATTCTTTCAGATTAGAAAAATAGACCTCATATGAAGTTGTCGCTATTACACTCGTATTCAATAATTCATCATTACTCTTATTAGCATTGTCTCGTCCTTAGTCAGACCTATCTCAGCAGTGTTTTCATGAGTCATTTTTATTATTTGATAATGTTTCCCTTCTTGCCAACAATAAGCAATATCATTGTAGCTGATGACTTAAATACCCATGTTAAGAAACTGGATGACAATTTTTCTGTCAAACTCCTTCATATTTTTTCATCTTTTAATTTAACCAATAGGATTAATTCCCATGTACTATACACGGTGGCATGCTTCATTTACTCGCTACTCCTGACTGTCATCCCAACTTCATGCACTATTCACCCACAGGTGTAATGTCCGATTTCAGTTTCATAACAATGACTTTCCCTATTTCTACTTATTAATAAACAATCAGTAAAAATTAACAACTTGTTTTGTTCATGGAAAAACATTGATAAAGCTCGCTTTTTTGGTCAAAATTTCTAATTTTTCTAATGTTTTATCATTCTCTTGAGGGTTTATACCTTGATTTTGCATTACGAGGTTTTTTTGATAAATTTAATTGAGTTGTAGATTTAACTGGCTATCTTTGTTGGCTCCACTCATACTCTGTTCTTACTTTTTCGAAGAATCTAATGCCGTGAAATTGAAAGATTTGTTAAAAGTCAACCCAACAAAAAATTGCTTGTTATAGCTCTAATTGAAAGGGCCAAAAAATTTATGAAAAAAATGACTGCTGGACAAATTCGGTTGTTAAATATTTCAATCAGCCCAAAAATCTTAGAGTTACTGTTAATAATATTTTGTCAGGAAATTCATTTGAGAATTCCACAAGGTCGGGGCCATATTTTCTGTCAACCATTTTTCAAAAATTTTTCATAAAATGTTGTTTCATTAAAACTTTTTACTTTCTCCTTCAAGGCGTGGCAATCTCCATATTTGTTTGTTTGAATGAGACTCTAGGCCTGGAAAATATCAAATAAAATATAGATTACAGCAACGTCGCCATTCCTTGTTTGGGCTTTTCTGAACATCACTCCACTCACTCAAAACACTTCGTCCAGCTTCTTTCCGGTCTGGCTTCGCTACACGACAACAACTTCAACAACTATAATCTCTCATCAAAAAACTGATTTGCTTCATCTACCTTTATCTTATCCTACTGTTATTCAAATATTTAACACACTCCATTCCAGATTATTTAAGAAAATAGAAAAAAATACTATTATGTCACCTGCTCTCTACTACTACCAATCAAAACTACCACACACAACCTTCGTCAACGTTAAAAAACATAATTATCAAATTAGCATTCGAATCAAGATAAAAATTTCATCCCAAGACAAACGATTTTATTCACACCGTGTGTGTGTGTGTGTGTGATGTGTGTGTTTGTGCAATTTTTTAGTAAAAGATTACTGAGTTTATAATTTTAACCTTTGTCTTTGTTACCGTTTTGCAAACAAACTTTTTAGATAGCACGTTTCGGGGATCCTAAGGTTTCGGGGGCCCTCTGAATTCGCCGACCTGCCAACCTGCTCAAGCCGCATATGTATGCAATGGAATGCTTACTTCTATGGATGAATTTTTTGCATAAAAAGAACGAACCGAAAAGTCTTTTCAATTTTGCTGACTGCAAAAAATGTCAATAATCTGAAAAGAGTTTTATTTTATGATGTTGTGTAATGTGATGTGTGGTGGTGTAGTGATGTGTGGTGGTGTGATATCAAGTGGTGAGTGTTGTATGATGTAGTCTGGTGTGTGGTGGTGCTATTAAACTAGTTAAACATACTTTTAATATTTGCAAACTAAAAAAAGTGATTTAGATAAAATTGTACAAAACCTAGTGTTCTTGAAATTGTTTTACTTACATGCGTCTACGTTGTAGTATAGGTAAAGATACGAATTCTGGCTACACGCTATAAGCTTCTGATGAAAACATTGTTTCATTTGCATATTCGTTCACAGATGTGAACTTATAAATAGGGACATTTGATAATGCTAAAACAGTCATAAAATTATTCATATTAAAATTTGGATAACACCTGGGTCATTGCCTGCATGTAAATAATTTTGTTATTGAATTTTTATGGTATAATAATTTTTTATGAACGATATTTTAAAACATTTTTACATAACATCAGGAATGAGGTATTTAAAAGATGAACTTCTGTCCATTCCAATTGAAGCAAACACCAACTATATATTCATATATATAGTTGATTCACATTTTCTCTAATGACCACGGGGAAAAGTGCGGTGTGTTGCCCGCGATGGCAAAAGTGTATGATGGGCTAGTTCACATGTGTTCGTGTAAGTTGCTTGTGTTGCAGAACTCTGAAATATTACTTATTTTACAAAACGATCACAGACTACAAAAAATTTCAACAAATGATTTTCCGGCATACGCAAAGATAGACGTGTGTGTGTGTGTGTGTGTGTGTGTGTGTGTGTGTGTGTGTGTGTGTGTGTGTGTGTGTGTGTGTACAATAAATAAATAAGTGTTTATGCGACTAGGAATTTCCATTTTTATATTTGTGAACGATATATTCATGCCCACTCTTGAAAAATGTTGGCTCAGTGTTTTTTACATTTAACATATTTGCCTGACAAATAGTAATGTTTAAACTGCAGAAGGGCATAAAACTTTGATCAAGTTTATTTGTCGATCGTTAAAAATTTTATATTGTTTTAATTTTTTAATATTCAATTACATCAACAATAACAATTTCACCAACAACAACAACATTAACAACAATTACATCAACAACAATAACATCAACAACGATAAAATAAACTGTTACCAATACAACAAGACAATCGTCCTCACCGAACAGGCACAGGCACCACCACCACCGACAACTACAAGACAGCATTATTATTTTACATCAATTCTATTTTATGGTGGCAATTATTGCCTCATAATTGCGTCTGCAACATGAGATAACCACAGAACACACAGCAGCAGCAATTATAAATTAATAATGTATTGAAACGCCTACCCTACCCTCTCCTGGCGTCTGAACATAATTATATGCGTTGGGAGAGCGAGTGTGTGCAAGCATCTGTGCTGTGCTTGCGCCAATAATATTTTTGCACTGGCAATTCAATTAAATAACCATTTTGGTCATGATTATTTTATGTCTTGCTTGCTTGTTGTAAGATTTATCGATGTATTTCCATGCTTTTGTTTTTTTAATGTTTTGTTTTCTTTGTTGCTATTGTGGTTGTTGTTGTGGTTGCTGTTGTTGTTGTTGTTGCTATTGTTGTTGTTGCTGCTGTTGTTGTTGTTGTGGTTGAGGTTTGTTGTTGTTGTAGTTGCTGCCATTCTAGTATTTTCATTTTTCTTAACAATTTTTAGTGTTGATACTTTGATTCTTTGCTTTGGTTCATTCCTGCTATTCATTACTTCAATTCATTACTTCAATTCATTACTTCAATTTACGGCTTCAATTAAAACTTTTAACCATTAAAATAATTTCCAAATCTTTTTCAACCGAGCAAAAAATTGAAATAAAGGGAAATCTGGACGACACCAATCTTTTTCAACTTGATAACTTTTTTCTCCAGCATAAATTGAAGTTTCTAACAAATTTCATTCTCATTTTCGCATGTTGATAGTCTTCATGTCGTTAAATGAAAACAAGTCATGGTGTGGAAACTTCATGCTTACTCTTATTCCAGTTACAAGAGTTAAAACAAAGATGAAATAACTAAAACAAAGAATGAATAAATAGATAGATAGATAAATAAATAAATAAATAAATTAAGACGTGCAAGCTGCGTGCAACATAACGAAATGAAAACAAAACATCAGTAGCCAGCACGACACCTCCATCCAATAACAACAACTCACGTGATCACGCATGGCTGACGTCAGCACCGCCATGCTGCTTCAATTTCTTTCAATTGTTTATGTCAGATGTTGTCGTTGTAGTTGATGACGCTGCGGCTACGTACCTTGCATGTGTGTGTGTGTGTGTGTGTGTGTGTGTGTGTGTGTGTGTGTGTGTGTGTGTGCGTGTGTGTAAAAAGAAAAAATAATTTATATTTACAAGAAGTGTTTTCGTTTCGTTTCGTTTTTGTCCAAAATGTTAGACAGTAGGACACACACACACACACACAAACAGCGCAACAAAAAGTACAAAACAAATGGTGTTGCCACAATTTATGCGCGTTCTTTATGATAATCAGGGAGTCTTATTAAGTCCTGATTTGAATGATGTCAACCTCACAGCGAAGGCATTCCATCCAGCGACATGATGTAGGCAGAGCAATGATGCATTCCACGTATTTGTTCCATCGTTGTTAATAACCAATGCAGGTTATCTACACATCGAAACAACACAAACGTTTCATATTTCCGGAGGGGCATTATTTCTCATTCCTGTTTGTGGGTATGTCGCATCACTTATTCTGCTCGTTGCTTGGTTATTACGCTTTTTTAGTGTACAATTCAACTCTTATACTGAAGAATAATTTCTAAAAGTTAATCGCACTATGATACTTGAAGGTAACTCAAAACCCAATTTCAAAACGAACCAGCTGAATGACATCGTTATGTGTTATGTTCTTACATGTTTGTTACTCGTCAGTTGCGTGTTATTTGCGTGTCAGTTGCTTGTTAGTTGTGCGTGTTACATCAAAAATTATAATAATTATAATACTGCGTGCATTAAAAGTTAATCACAGAGATTTCGTAAATGATGTTTAACCATTCAATCATTTCAACTGTTTATCGGAATCGAAAGATCAGCTAGTAGATTTGCGTGTCTGTTACGTGTGAGTTGCGTGTTACTTACGTATTGATTGCATGTTACTTGTGGTTTTTGCATCAACAGTTACAAACAATTATAGTGAAAAAGTTAAAGATCATTCTCCCCTCATGTTAGTTGCGTATTCGTTGCATGCTAGTATGTTAGTTGCGTGCTACTTGCTTGTCAGTTGCACGTCAGATTAGTTTTACACAGCACGGAGCAGCAACATCCTGCAACATCACGTAACATCATGTAGCACCATGCAACATCATACATCATCATTTATGCAGCCACGTTCAAAAATAGGATTTTAACCAAACGCACTTTAATCCGGACAATTCAGCATGCAATTTATAAAACAGAGCTCTCAGAATGACGACCGAGGCATGCAATCGACAGTGGCTGCTAGAGTGCTGCAGTTCAAATCCAGGGTCGTTCTTCTAGCGAAAGGAACATGAAAACATTCACGCTTTTGTTGTTTATAGACTACAAAACTCACAAACAATTTTGCATCTGCAAATCACAGTCGCAAACATTCCGAATTTGAGAACTCTGTTTAACTTACTACGAAACTTGAAAAAATTACAAGTTCTCAACTTTGCGGGGCATGCAGCCAAACGCGCTGATATGGGGATTTTTTTACACGGCCGAAATTGATGAACATTAACGCAAATATAGCTTGATTGCCTCTTTAAAGGTAAATATTAAATCTTTAGGTCGAGAATATTATTAAACCGTTCTTAAACTAACTTTAGTCAACTCATTCTTATATTATTTTATTTTTTCATTTATTCGTTAATTTATTCATTCACAGCTGTTTATAAATTCAAAACATCGTTAATTCTTCGGTCAAAATATAAGTTATTCGTATACCTTAATGGTTTATTCTGATAATTTTCCCGGTTTCAATGGGTTTAGCGTTCGAAAATTGTATAAAATTCATAATTCAGAACCGACCGAAATATTCTGTTTTGAAGTTTCCCACGATACAAAATCTTTTAGGCCTGGTCGCTTTGAAATATTTCTCTTCAAATTACTGAGCTGTGCTGTATTTTTTAGTTCAACAGAAGATGAATACCAATATCATTTTCAAATATGTTCAATGTTGCGTGAAAAAGTTTGGCTGGTTAGTTAAATTTTTTGTCAAAAATAAATATCAGTAAATCAACGACGATGAAATGAATCAATTGAAATAAAAAACAGGGCAGTGCAAAAAAAAATAAATAACAAAAATTTAAAACTCAACACATCTTATGAAACATTTTTGTTGAAGTTGGCTACGATAAAATATTATGCGAAACAAAATGCAGAAGAAACGAATGAGAAGCAGTTCTAACGAGTTTGAAACATGCGAACCTTACAAAGGCTTCGGTCAGTGCTCGTCACAAAAAATAATGATCATTATCAAAAATTTTCATCACATAAAAAATAATAATAATGTGACGCTACTTAAAATCAACCAAAAAATGAATGAAACCCGTACATATCTTGCATGGGAATGGAGAAGTACACGTTGTTGCAAATATTTGGCTGTCGAGGAGAGTACATTGTTCTGCGGACTGTCGCGCATCTGCAAAATGGATTGCAATTGTTTCATCAATTTGTTTTAGATTGTTGTTTTTATAAAATGATGAAACAGTTCTTTTCATGTTTCGATTTACATCGTCAACCTGTTTTTTTTTATTAAATTTCAAAATTAATCCACAACTAAAACCAAAATCAAATGATCAAAAAGTTATTAATTTTTCACAAACACAAACATGGATGTATATCACATACATTAGAAGTACGTTTGAAAAACTTCATCATAGTGACAAACAGCTGACAGCAGAACGCCATATTGACGCGAAGCAGAGGCACAGCAGCTTGCATGTCACTGCTTGCAAGTGATTATGATTAGCTGCTTGCTGGTCACGTGGTGTTTAATGAGGAGAGCTGATTACCTACTTCCTGTGCTCCCAATAGTTTTGCTTGATTAGTTTTATGATGGACCACTAACTAATTTTGTTGTCCAGGCTGTAGATGACAATGGTGGCAAAGTTTTTTGACAATAATTTTTCTATTACTGAAAAATTATAACAATTTAAATAAAAATTAAATATATTTTTTTGAGAAAATAATAAAAATCCCAATCATCTGTTTTACTGAGATATGATTTTAATTAATTTTAATTTTAATTATTTCAATTTTTACTCTACAATTTTAAACTGAATTTTTATCAAAATTTCAAATGTTTTTAAAAGTTTAAATTTAAATGTATGTATTTTTGTATATAAATAATTTTTAAACTATTTTTCTAATCGAAATATTTATACAAATTTGGAACCTTTCGAAGAATCAACTGCTGCCCTCCAGCCATCTACACATCCCTTCCATTCAACTGGAGCACCAGGGTGTTTACGAGTGTGTGGCTGTCAACCAACACCCAGCGTCATCATCTTCATCGTTGTCGTCATCATCTTCATCACTGTTATCATTGCCATCATCATCGACATTGTCTCCCAAAAACGCGACGCAAAACAATCCAGCCTCAGTTAATTGGCTGATAACATCGACCAATCTGCCTGCCACAAATACATCAACATCAACTGACAACAATGAGAACGCGCTCTTCATATCAGCTTCAACATTGTTAACAACGTCACCACAACCGTCATTGTCATCATCTTTCTCATTATCATTGTCTACAATAATGTCCTCTTTATCATCGAAATCTTCATCATCAACATCATCAACAACGTCAACAACATCTCCAGTGTCAGCAAAACAGAGGGTCGTCGTGACAGTTGAAAAACTTTCTGGTAACTTATTAATTCTGCGCATATCAGACACCTCGGTGACAGTCACTTGGACTCATCTGGACGCTAGCAAACGCTATCAGATTTTTTACTCACATATCAATGGTGATGCTTCGAGACACGTTCGCCATCCACCGTCTGATCGCCAACACGCATCTGCAAGTGTAACCACAACTGCTGCTAACATTACACTTACAGATGACAGAAAAAATGGCCCGAAAAAAATGAAGCACAGTCTCAACCAGTCTGGAAACACCAACAGGACTGACGTTAATGACGTTGAAGATGTAAGAGATGTAGATTGGCTAGGTAATGAGCCAATCAAAACGTCGATGAGTGAACACAATGCATCTAATTTGGTGGAAATATTAGATGCAAGCAAGAAAGCTGAAAACAATTCTGGTGTTGACATTGACAGAAATATGAACAAAACAGAAACAATGCTAACGACAACAAAAATAATATACCATAACAATAACATGCCAACAGCTGAAGCAACAACAAATCAACAATCAACAACATCTAGCTCCAAGCTAATAATGAGTACTTTTTCACAATCAACATCGACAACTACAACAAATGTAAAAGTTGCACCATTACCAACGAAAAAAACAAACATAACAATCCCAATAACACCAACAATCATAGCAACACCATCAATCACAACAACAACACTGATGATGCATCATCCCCTCCATCCATCTGCACATCTCTCCCATCACTTCGACCCTCCCTCTTCTATGCATCACATCATCAGCCACTTTGTCGTGCAGTCAGCTAGACAGCCACAATTTCATCCCCATCTTCACTCACCACCAGCATCATCATCGTCGTCGTTATCATCAGCGTCAAAGTCGTCCTCCTCTTCATCATCATCATCTTTATCATCATTAGCCGGATTTTCCAGGTTGTCATCATCTCCACCACGTGCACATACAATTGAGATAAAACATTACATGCGATCGTTCACAGCTAATGACTTGACACCAGGTTCAACATACGAGTTCTGCCTAATGGCGCAAACAGATAACAACAATTATCACAGCAGTTATCTCAATAATGACGAAAGAGACAACAAACGTTTGAACAACCTGAAAATTAATTGCACAGTTGTAGTTACGAAACTCACCCAAGATGTCTACACCGCGGGATTCAGGTTGGTTGCTCAGTCGCTTCAATGTTTCGTTTCCTATTGTTTTGTTGTTCATGCACAGAAATAGGTGGCTACCTAAAATGAAGATGTAACCATTCAAAGTGGATGTTGTAGTCGCGTGGATGGCCGATTCTATGCAAAAAAAACATCAGGATCTAATTAATCTAATTATAGTAACATTAATGACAATGTGTGGTTATTAGAATACTTTGTTGCTGGCATCAAAGGCGAATTTTAAAATGTAAATGAATCGGTTCTAATTTCGTTAAATTTGCATGACAAAAAATTTAGAACGATTATATTATTTTGTATGCATATTTATTTCATATATTCAGAAATGTGGGTCCAACAATAGCGGTTTCAATAGGCTTGGCAGTCTGTCTGCTCATCTTCCTCGTCTCATGCATCACGAACTTTACAAAACGCTACAACAAACAGGTGGCGGAGCGTCGCACGTGTGGCGAGGACGACGAATATTACGACACGAACACGTCGGAACTCTACCTCGCTACAGCCAACGTTAAAGAAAATGTTTTGGCAGCTGAAGAGTATTATGAAAACGAAGCAACTCTTTTCTCGTCATCATCCTCCATCAAACCTGAACGCGATTCTCCACTTTTTAACAAGGAGGACCTGCAAGAAATTTATGATTCTGTCTACGGCGACTCACGTGACACTCATTCAGAACCGTTACCAACATACCAGGAGGACTGTTTCGAGCAGGACGATTGCTTCAACGTGGATTGCGCCGAGTTGGCCTACTACAACGCCGCTGACCTGCAAAACGTATGCAGCGAAAATAATTGTAAGTTCAACAGTGGGAGATGCTGTGCGAGAAGAGAAGTTAGTTGTTGCCGTCAGTGTTTGCAAGAAAACGTCGGAACAAATTGTGATGCGAAAGAAGAGTGCGCCATATTCTTCGTTCAACCCTGCAGCGAACACGTGGAAAGGTGTTTTGCCGTGAATAATGAATGCAGTTGCGTCCACTGTGCCAAATTGTGTTCAACGTGCAACAGCAGCAACGACAAAATCGACAAAGCGATTGATATTGGTAACAAGGATTGCATTAACTTTCAATCGAATATCAAAATTGATAGCCAATTCAACGATTTTCACAACAACATTGACAACAATATTAATGTCATAAAAATAGACAGCATTCCTGACAATCCGGTAAACCCCACCCACACTGTGGATCAGCTATTAGCGAATGATTGTAAAAACTCACACGTTCGTTTGAACAAAAACAAAGACCATTCAACAAACATTCATTCGGATTTGATCTTCAATACTGACAACAACCTTAGTTCCGACCAGAGAAGTTCCGGAGACCAGCACAAAACTATGACGTATCATAGCGAGAATGATGAAAAAGTTGACCGGGAATTCAACAACTCCACTTTCATCAAAATCAACAAAAGAAATAACGATAGCAATAATAGCATCATTAACTGCAGCATTAATGATAATTTAGAAAATATAAACAACATAATCAGCACTAACAATAATAATAATATTGACAAAAAACTTGCCACAGTTACAAGTAACGAGAATTTAAAAAGCAGTTCGTCTAACATGATGATGCCAGTAAATCCAATGTGCATAAATAACATCCATCCCAACATCCATCCCAACATCAATCCAAACATCCATCCAAACAATAATCTCAACATCCATCCAAACAACAATCTCAACATCAATCTCAACATCAATCCTAACATCAATCCCAACATCCATCCCAACATCAATCCCATCATCAATCCAAACATCCATCCAAACAACAATCTCAACATCCATTCAAACAACAATCTCAGCATCAATCCTAACATCAATCCCAACATCAATCCCAACATCTATCCCAACATCAATCCCATCATCAATCCCAACACCAATCCCAACACTTATCTCAACACTAATCCCAACATCAATCCCGACACCAATCCCAACATGAATTCAAAAAGTTTCAACAACAAATTCGCAACTGTTTATAATAATAATGCAGCTACCAACAACGATAACAAAACTCCGTCTAGCGAAATTATTGATAACTTCGAATTGAAATGTTTCTCCTCGTCCACTTACGACGTGGAAGGCTGCTCGTTCAGATCTTAAAAAACAACATGCTAGAAAACCATTTTTACGACCATGAATTAAGTGACAACATTAGAAAATAGTTTAATGTTGATTGGTTGAAATGATGAAATTTTGACTGTGTATGATGAAATTTTGACTGAATCTTGTTTTTCAGACAAAACAAGAGATATTTGAAATTTCCTGCTAGTGTATTTTTAAACTCTTTATATATTTGAATAGTTTCAAAAGAAAGTTATGAAGCTTGCAAAAATCAAAAATTGATTTGTTAATAAATTCTGAAAAACCACATTAGTTACAAAATTCTAATTATTTTTTAAAATAAAAAATAATTTAAAATTTATTTTCAATGTTTTTTAATTTTTTCTATGAGACGAACCTTTATGGTAACTTATTGCATATCGTAAAAAAACATTCGAAGACATGAACAAATAAATATCCCACCAACAACGTAGCAATGTTTTGCAGTCTTAACATTTTAGAAACAAGACAGCATTGTTATTGCTTAAACTACTTTTACGCATAATATTCATGAAAAAAGCAATTCAACCGATCAGCTCCTGATGATCGTAGCCACCATGTAATCCCATTATGGAAAGATAAACATTCAGCTTTCATTTTCCCTCCCCTCGCTCTATTCCTTGTCTATGGACACCTCTTATTTAAGTTCTTTGCTCTTTTGTTAACATGTTTTTATTTATTTAAATTCGTTTCTCTTTTATTATTTTTAACTTTTTTTCCCATGTGAATTGGCTTATGGATGTTGCCTGCAGTTTATACTAGGCTGAACAGTCGGATGCAAAATGTTGTTGTTGGTTCGGTTGTTGACGATGGGATGGATTCATGCCATAACAAAGAGGAATGATACCATGATTGATACTTGCAATATTTTGCATTTAATTGAATTGTATCAGGTCGACCATGTTGTCGTCCTTCATCTGTCTAAGGGTGGAAATTTTGGGATCTTTTGTTATATTACTTTTTATTATTATTATTATTTATTATTAATATAGTAATATATTATTATTATATTATTATATATTGTTATTATTATTATTATTGCTATTGTTATTGCTCTTGTTATTATTATAACTTTTGTTGCTGTTGTTACAACTGTTGTTTCTGCAAAGTTTATTCATTGTATTATTATTGTTATTATTGTATTATTATTATTATTATTAGTAGTAGTAGTAGTAGTAGTAGTAGTAGTAGTTGTTGTTGTAGTAGTAGTAGTAGTAACAGCAGCAGTTGTAGTACTAAATTATTGTTTTATATCTAACCACGTCAAACGCAATATAATTTATTTTTGATCTTTTGATCTTTAAGCATTGAATTATTAACAAAACTCTTTATATAAAAACATTTTAAAACTTAAAATGCCGGCAACCCTTTGATGTTTTTTTTTTAATTTTTTGAGTGTTGTGATTTTTATTTTTCCTCTCGTGACGTCGTCTTTCTCATCTGGCGACAACAAACTTCTTCCATCCACTCACTCTAATGTACTCTATCTATTCAGATGTCAATCCTAACTTTGTAACTTCGTAACTTGTAAATTATTTATGAAGTATTAACAAATTATTTATGAATTGTAATTTAAAAATTCTTAATATGTGTAATGATTTCTTTTGATGTGAAAGAGCCTGTGGCAAGCCCTGGAGATAGGGCATCTCTCTTCAGGAATTTGCACAGGTTGGATCAAGAGGACGACTGTCTCTGTTCATATCAAACTTTTTAAACATTAGAACGTTTGAAGTAAAATATAACAATACGTTTTCTATAAGCATAAAATAGACATGGAAAAGCACAGGGTTGCATTTTATCCGTAACACACTTTTGTATTAAAATTAATGACACATGCAATTTAATTCCGCAAGACATGCTCAAATGCCTCTACATCAGGGACTCCATAATAGCCTATAAACATGAGAACATTGGAAACATTGAAAATAGGTTGAATAAATAATCAAAACAAATATATCTTTAGTCAATTAACAATTGAACAACATTTTCCAATTCGAATGCATCGGCAAATGGCGCTTTATAAACTGTTTGACTGATTGATTGACTGATTGGTAGATTGATTGCTTGACTGATTGATTGACTGATTGGCAGATTGATCGATTTTTGAAATTGATAAAAAAATGAAATTTCGTTTATTATGTGCAACAAAAATTTCCATCAGCATTCCAAGCCACTAAATTTGCCGTCAAACTCTTTTTTTAACATTCTGAAGTTTGCATAACATCAAAGCATTTAAAAGCAACTGTTCCTTTCTTCAACAATTTATAAACAATCGGCGTGTGGGCTCGACAATCTTTAGAGCACATCTACTCAACGTCATTCCTCATACAACCATCTGCTCTAAACCATGGTTTAGTGTTTTACTTTTTACTGAAATTTCCTTTCATCCCAACTCCAATCAAGTTTAATTCATTGATTTGGAATGTAATCAAATCAACTGACTTGAAGTGGTGACATTCCAAATCAATGAATTAAACTTAATTGTCTCAATGATAAGACTTTGGAATTCATTGCCATGTTTTCATGCTCATCGTCATCATCTTCATCACTTTTTTTACAATTCGATCTTCGATATTTCATAGAGGCGTCAAAAAGAAGCACACAGTGGATGCAAACACACGTGAAACAACTCATCATACACATTGCACGTGATGAGCTGGGATCGCCTTGCTATTGAATTCGGACATTGCAATATCAGTGCCAGGCATTACACCGTTACACTATCGCGTAGGTCGAATGAAAATTGATAACATTTTTTACACCGACAGACTTATTCGGTCAATTTTGAGCATTTTTTATTAGGAACAAAATTTATTCAGCAGCTCTTTAAAAATAGATCGACTCAGCGTCATCGAGGTCCTTTTCGATCTTCAAACATTTATCAACGCTGGATTATTTCTTAAACTCTTTATTGAAGACCGCTTAAAACTTAAAGTGACGTCAGCACTTTGAGGTTTTATTTCGAATGTTTTGATTTTTATTTTTCCTCGCGTGTCATCGTCCTTCCTACCTGGCAACCATCAAATGTTTTCGTCCACTCATTCTTATGCACTTTCCATCTATTCTGATATCAATCATATCTTTATACATTCGTTACTTATAAATTATTTATGAATTATAAATTATTTATAAATTAATTATCAATTCGTAATTTAAAAAAATCGTAATATTGGCATGCTAAAGCAAAGGTTCGTGTACACTCGCTGATTCCTACTAAATAACTCACTGAAAATAATTCAGCGTTACATAATTTAAGCAGGTTCGTAATTACCGGAAGCCGGACAGAGATGAGTGCGTGTGCCTACCAAAATGAATGAAAATGTGCACTGCAGAGAAAAACGAACAAAATCTGGTCATCATTGTGGACGTTCGTCAGTCCATCTTTGCAGTTTTGTTTGTTCGTTCAAATGTTCGTTCGTTCGTTCGATTGAATGTTTTCAATTTATTTTGTTTGTTTGTTCGTCCTTTTGTTCTTTTTCACGTAGTAACTCTCTTGAGGACAACCGCTGAAGAAATTAATTCATTTGACGAACACATGTGCCTGCTTCGAGACACCATCATCATCATCATCTTGTCATGTCGGTAGTCACGTGATGGTGATGGTTACAAATTATGATGAAATAATTGAATTCAATGATGAAGATGACAGAGATGATGATGATGATGATGATGATGATGATGATGATGATGATGATGATGATGATGATGATGATGATGATGATGATGATGATGATGATGATGATGATGATGATGATGGTGATGATGACTAATTTAAGGGTGTCACCCGATAATGGTGACAATAAAGCTGGTGGTGGTGGAAATGGTGGTGGTGGTGGTGGTGATGCTGTTGATAATGATGATATTAAATTGTGGAGAATGGTAACGCCTGTGCGAGCGACGTGACGAGGATTGAAAGAATTAAAAAATGTTTGCAGGGGGGAGGAGGGGGAAGGTAGGAGGAGACGTGAGGGGGGAGGGGGAAGGAGACGTGGAGTGTGTGTTGACATTGAAATATGAGCGCCTCTTATTATTTAAAATTAAATGGCATGAATGATGATGATAGCAACGAGCACTGAATATGATTAATAAGCGAAACCTTACAACGGATGCTAAGGTTGTTGTTGTTGCTGTTGTTGGTGTTGTTGTTGGTGGTGGTGCTGTTGTTGTTTTTGTTGTTGTTGATGTTGATATTGTTGTTGATGTTGTTGTCATTGTCATTGCTGTTGATGTTGTGGTTGTTGATGTTGATGTTGCAGCCAATGTCGTCGTTGTTGCGAGTGTTGTTGTGGTTGTTGATTTATATTTTTGTTGTTGTCTTAGACGGAGTTTTTTTGTCGTAATGATGTTATTGTGGCGGTAGTTGATGTTTTTGTAGCTGCTTCATTGTCGCAGAACGTTGTGGCCGCAAGCAGCGATATATTAAACCCTGTCAAAATGGAGAAAAATTAATGAAACTTTCAATCCGAGTTGTGATCGTGCGGAGAGAGCTATTTTGAGAAAAATATCATAACAACTGTGCGTAAGTTGATACAACAGTACAGAATCATCTAGATAAAATAAAGCGGTGTGGTGGTGGAGGTGGTGGTGGT